ATATATATATATATATATATATATATATATATATATATATATATATATATATATATATATATATATATATATATATATATATATATATATATATATATATATATATATATATGTATATATATATATATATATATTTATAGTCCTCAAAAATGAAAATTTTGGAGACATGATTATAGTCATTGAGTAAAAATATTCCTAAATGTCAGAAGGTTATCACGAGGTTAAAGTTAAATCATTATACAAATTACTGTGAATAAGAAAGCTAAATGGGTTTGAGTGCTCTTGAGATAAGAATTGTTCGAGAAATAGATCGAATTTTCGGTAGACGTGGGTGGCGCATATACAATTTATCACTTTCAATGATGTCTGACGTACGTGTTAGTTGGATTGTGGTTCTGGGCAAGTCAAGAGTTTAAAACACATAATTATGCAAATAAGGTACCCGAATCGTCATCTACTTTTGATTTATTTAAAAATTGATTTAAAGATGCTGTAAAGTCCGTTCTGCGCATCAGTTCTGTTCATAACAAAAGGGGACTCGCAGATATAAACTTTGCCCAAGTTTTACATCTTTTGAACATTTTTGAATTGAAACGTTTAATTTATATTCATTTACAAGCATAGCGAACCACAACCTCGTAGCCATGGCTTCTGCGCTTATTGCAAAGCGCAGAAGCCCTGGGTACGAGGTTGAGCAAAGCAGAAAAGTATGAACGGCAACACAGGCAGCCGAGAAGCCCTGGGAACGAGGATGTATTCAACCACATATCCAGGCTCTTTCCACTACGCTCCTCCAGCGATGAGCGTAGTGGAAAGAGCCTGGATGCGAGGTTGTTAGATATTCACTTGAGTTACATTACGGAGTTTACAGCATCTTTAAAGACCAATTAGCAAAAGCTGTTTCAATGGGGGACTGCACTGCCACATGTATAAAACATTACATGACAACTATACTATACACTCGTATACGAAATCGTAGTTTATAAACTCGGCAAGTTGTGCCTCCATTTTGTCGAGGTGGCAACAATTTTTCACTTGTTGCCCGGCGGGATACCTTGCATTTATCTAAAGCCACGTGACCACAACTCAGCCAATCACGTTTGGCGTTCACCCTATATAGCTATATGCCTGAAAAAGATGTTTTTACCACCCCTAACTTTACGTTTATCTTATAAGTCCTTCTAACCCAGAAATATTTTTTCTTTGCAGATTTGAGGAAGAACCTCTTACTTTACTATGATTTTGACAACATGACGCAAACACACGTTTATGATAGGTCAGGAAATGGCAGGTCTGCCAGAATGTATAATACAAACATTGTGGAGGAAGAGGGAAAATGTAATAAATCAATCACCTTCAACTCTCAACCACTACATATCACTGAAGTAGCTTCTCCTAATGCAACATCTGTGAAAAGATCAAGTCTGCAGATTACTGTGGCCGTTTGGATACTTTTATATGAGGTAATTTCTTTATACAGCTAATGTAACCTTTACTACTTTGTGATATAGCTATAAACTTGGCACCTTCCCCTCCCATGGTATCAACGACACATTTTCTTATACTTATAGCAAGTTAGCCTAATTCTTCCTGACATACTTCATGATCGTGTTCATATATACAGCCAATTCAAAAAAGTTGTCCTTTGCAAACCTTAAACTCTAAAATTCAATCCTTAGACTCTAATTGCACAAAGCTTAATGGGAGCATAAGTTTCAAGCTTGGTAGTTGGATATTGCAGCTGTTTGTGAATGAATTGTTCTCGTAAGGAGATATTTACCATCTCAGCAATGGGCCCCAAATATGATTTCTAAACTGATTAAATGATCCTCCCGTTATGCTCTGCACGCTTAGAGTTTACCTTTTTTGAATATATATATTTATATATATTTAATAGACTTGAAGATGCGATGTAATTTAACATTTTCTATTTACACTTTGTTTTGACTAAATCCATCTGACTGGTTTATTTTATCACCTGATCGCTTTTGTATTCACCAGTATAACCGAGTATAACAGCACATTTGTTTTTCTCGATCCCCAGACGAAGGGCTTCGCTCGAAACATCGAAGTTTGTTCTTACTTTTCTGGTACACGCGTAAAAACGCACAGCTTGTAACAAGTCTGCAAACAAGTTGTTACAAGTCTGTTCACAAGCTGTCAACAAGTTGTCTTCGCACTGCTTGTTCCCAGTTTGTTATAACAAGTTTGAAACAAGCTGTTAACAACTTGTAACAAGCTTGATGGCATCATCAGCCTTGTTACAAGACTGTGCTAACAAGTTTGTTACAGCTATGATATAACAAGGATGTTACAAGATTGTCAACACAAGGTTGTAACAATCTTGCTATATTAAGCATGTAACGGACTTGTCAGAACAACCTTGCAACAAGTCTGATAATTTCGACAAGGTTGTTACAAGTTGTCAACAAGTTGTTCCAAACCTGTTGAGAACTTGTGACAAGCAGTGCGAACACAACTTGTTGACGACTTGTTGGCAGACTTGTTACAAGATGTGAGATTTTTACGTGTGTAGTTGTTTCATACATGCAACGTGGAAAGAGTCAGGCTCTACAAAAGGTCGTGGGTTTTTTCGGTTTTCCTTCCACTGGGAATGTTGTCACGGTGACTTGGGATAAGTGACCCTTCCACCTGTCACACATGAGTCAAAAGGTGGCTGCCAGAAGCGCCCATATAGAAGGCCTAAAACTCGATCAGGTTGAGCTGCGTCCTTCGTGATTCAACTTAGCTCTCAGTTGCAAATAAGAATGATTATCATTCACATTATTGTATTCCTAATTTTGATTCGTTAATTTACCTGCAAATAACTGCGTGTAAATAACACTCTGAGCACGCGCATTGCCTTCAATTTTTGTAAACAATGGTTGTGTAAACTACAGTATTTTCTTTTGTGAATAAACGTTTGTGTGAAAAGCTCGTTGTACGTGTTCCTAGTCACAATGTCTTATAACGAAAGATAAAACGAAGCTTTATAAGAGAATGATAAAACAATTATTGAACTCGGTTCTCGCAAAATATCGTGACTTGTCGGTGGCTCGCAGATCAATTATTTGCCTCTGCCTTCGTCATCAGCAAATATTGATCTGCTCACCACAGACAAATCACGATGTTTTGCTCAACCTCGTCCAATCTCGTCAATTTTAGCACTTCCTCATGCACTTGCTTGCTAGCTTGCTTTATTTACTAGCTCTCTGTGACTAGGTTGTGCGAATGTCAAATATCACTGTATGCAGCTGTTAGCCAATCAGTGAATACTTGTATAGTAATAAATATTACAATGATACTATCTTGTTTTTTCTTGTTCTAAATCAAGGGGAAAGGTAAAAGAACCATTTTTACAAGTTTCCACGCAAGCAAGGAAAAAAAGTTCTTGTATTTTGGAATTTATAAAGATAACTATCTGCGATGGTTTGCGACATCGGAAAATTCATGCAAGACGTTCGAGAAAGCTTCTCAGTTAAAAGTTGGAGCATGGCAACATGTGGCAGTTAGTTATAATTACACAAATGGTAGGTATATCGTCATTGCTGGCGTTCTAAAACAGAACTAACTTTAATGTATAACTAGGGTGAACACCAAACGTGATAAGTGCACGTGGTCATGTGGTTGGGGCTTCGGTGGGGAAGTGGTTAGCGCACTTCAGCCTTTCACCTCTAAAGTCGCAGGTTCAAGTCTCAGTGAGAACTTTCTCGACGCGACTCGAACCCAGTTCTCGTGTGAAAAGAGTAAAAGTCTACGGTTTCCTCCCACAGGGAAAGTTGACAGGGTGGGTTAGGTAAAAGGGTCCACAGTAATTGGCATATGCTGTTGTGGTGACCCTGCCCTAGTTGACAAAGCTAAATAAACAAATAAAAAAAAGTGAAAAATTGTTGCCCGCCCCAACCGGCTACGTATATAAATAAAGAAAATGGCGGGACAACTCGCAAGTTTATAAACTACGATTTTCCAAGTTTGTGTTAAAATAAAGAATGTAAAAGAGAGGGAAAATACACAACAGGAAACAGGATATGCTGCTGAAACCGTTTAAGTAGGTTATATTTTAGTTTTAAACTCGTTTACATTATAGAGTTTTTGTCATGAAATACAATTGTTGTATGACTGTTGTTGATTTTTCTTTTCTCGGGAACAGACATGAAGTGTATAATGTCTTTGTTTCTTTTGTGATTATTTTATAGGAATCACAACCTGCAACTTTTTCGTTAATGGCACTTTGTTTGAGGGGAAAGGAAACAACAAAGACTCTAAATTGACTGCCAAAAATACGCCACTTGGTATTTCCCCTTTCATTGGCAGTGTCAATAGCCAAGGAGGTGAACCACTAAATGGTCTCATGGATGAGTTTTATATCTTCGACAAAGCACTGTCTAAGGAAGAGATACAAAATCTCATGAATGATACATGTAAAACAAATCAGTAAGTACTTACCCATACTAATTACGAAAGCTTCGGATTGATAGGAATGCAAAATACCTGAAAAATGCACGGAGAACTTTGACGCTTCGAGCGAAGGCCCTTCATCGGGAAGTTAGCAGCTGGGGTGGGGAAAATCACATGACCTTTTATACTGGTGAATTATATAAAAGCGCTCACGTGACAATAATAAACCAACCCGTAAGCTAACTCGTCCTCAGTCGTGCGTGCTTTCCAATGGGGATGAGTCAGACCTGGATGGATTTACATCCTCGTCCCCAGGGTCACGTTCGTTGCTCTCGCTGAGCGATTTAGTCGAAACAAAGTATAAGTCACATTACAGAATACATCAGTACAAATATACAGTAAATACAAAAAATGCACAAAAAATATATGAAACAAGTCTGGAAAAAAGTAAGAGTGTCAATGTCATGCATTTGACAGGCAAGGACCGATGGAGCTAAACATAGGAAAATCGTTATCCCACAGGGGTAGGCAGTTCAGGCGCATTTCATATCTTTTGCGGCTACCATGGTTTTCAGAAATGGGACAGACGACTCGAATTTTCATATCTGAAACATTATGACTGCCATTATTAAAATGTTGTTGTTATAATGAACTAATAACTAACACTCTTCATATAGGAACGCGACGATCCAAACAAATCCAAGAAACACTACATCGCGTGAGTAAAAAGGATAAAATGTAAAGTGGGGCGAGGGTGTGTCTCTGTTAACATGTGATTTAATATTAAGGCCTTTACATTTTTCCACAATGCAGGAAATGCCTCTTTTCTGGAGGAGCATACCCTAAACCCCTCTAGAATTGTGACTCACAAATTAGTAAGTACCCGCTCTCCAAATAAGAACCATGGCGGCGCCACTGTAAATGAACAGCTAATTATACGAAGGTTGTCTTTCAAAGTCAAACTCGAAGCTACAAAATTTTGCCCGCACAAATAATTATTTACAATCTGTATAATTATATAGTATAAACGTACATATAGTATATATTTCTAGCTAGTGGCTTTCCCTCCTGATCTATTGTATTGTGCTTCTTGATTTTAATTGACTCTCTCATTTCGCGAGAGAACTTATGACTATCAATCGCCATGCAAACATACAAAGAACTTAGTGATATTTATATCGTTATTTAATGGAGGTGAAGCGACGTTTTGAATATTTTAATAGACTTTAATAGAACCAATAGCAGCTGCGAAAAATGCAACAATAGGGCGTTTGCACTCATTCCCCAGGAATCAACTCAACAAAAGCCATGGCGGCCATGTTGGTGTTCAAGACAAAAGAGTCTAATTAAATTTTTTTTTAATTGAAACACCAACATGGCGGCTATGACGTCATGTGCAAACGCTCTATAGGCCGTCGGGCAGGAATCGAACCTGACTAACCATTGAACTATAAATAAACTGGAAGGCTAACTGCTACGATGAAGGCCTATGATTTGATGAAGCCAAAATAGTTTTTCTGAGTTATGAGCAGAAATACTTGACCCCAAACGTAAATTTCAAGACTTCAGCGAAAAGAAAAATATTTAAAAAATACAAAAACAACTGCATGCAAAACGGCAAATTATCGGTAATTATGTTTGTAGTTTTTCAATATTTCCCTTTTAGTTAAAGTCTTGAAATTTCTACACCAAATAGCGTTTTTCAATAGCTTCAATTTGATATATAGCCCAACGTTCAGTGTTGCGTATTTCTGCTCATAACTCAGAAAAACTAAAATGCACTGGCTTCCAGTTTATTTATAGTTCAATGGAGCTAACTGAATAGTTCGGAATCGCAGGGCCCCAGGTTAGTTGAATTTTTCGCAGCTGCCTGATCTTAATAAATGCACAATATCTACATTCGAAAGTTCCCTCTACAAAATCCTTCGACATTCTTAGGGCCTGTTCATATGATCCCGCTTACCGGGACGTCTCGCTTACCGATGATCTCGCCGCCTATCTGTTTTCCTATAAAATTTTGCATTGTGTTCATATGAGAAAGCGAGCTGGCCCGCTTGCCGAGATCTCGTTTGAATTTGCCGAGATCATAGGTAGGCGGGATGAAAATTTTTCCATACGAACACGCCAGCCCGCTTACCGGGATGAAGTCAAACAAGTCTTGCCGGTTTAACTTTAACACTTTTTACTTGGTTTTATGTTTGTTTTGTAAACAAGTACTAAATATGCACCTGAAGCAATACTTTTTCTTGTAAATAAACGAAGAAAAACACTAAAATCGCTAAGTATTTGTGTTGCTTGACTGAAATGTAGAAGTTTTGCATACGCTAATTATAGAACTACAACGTAATTTCATATGAACAGGCCCTTAATCAATGCAGCTCTGTATATACAGATTCTGTGTAAATGATAATACTATTTCTGTCTTAGTAAACACAAAATTTACACCCAATAACTGTATTGAAACACCTGTAATATTTATTCGGTACAAGTATCACGATTGATGAGTTTTGTGTTTCGATCCTTAACACAAAAGGGTGTTATAGTAAAAAACTAAAATCAGTGTCTGCAGAGCTGCAATGCATGATTAAATCATTTTGGTAGTTTTGGTGTTGAAATACAACGTCCAGAAATTTTAGGTACTACTCATCTGAAATATGGCTCCGGGTGGGAATTTATAATTAAGCATTAATTTATGGCAAATAGTTTTAATCTTTTTTTATTCTCATTTTTAAATGACGTGGAAATACAGATGCTCCAACTCGTGTAAGTTAAATAATTTTCTTTGTAAATGATTCTAATCTGTTTTTGTTGTTTGTATTAATGTTTATATTCGTTCATTCTCTTTTAGACACCTCCCAACACTACACCAACGGATAAAACAACGGAAATGGTAAGTTATTTAACCATGGAGATTTTACGATTTTTAGTCGTACTTCACTGGTACGCCCAGAGGTGGAAAAAGTATCGGAACCTGGTAACCTATAGTTCCCAGAAATTGTTTTGAGTTGAGAGTTCGCAGAAAATTTTCCAGAGAATGTTTCACGGCAACATTTTGAGATAACTCTGTTTACTCAACTTACAACTATTCTACTTTATTTACACTGTACACACTAACATCAGCAGCCTTTTAAATATTTGACAGAAATTAATTCTGTTACCCACCCCTGCCATCACAATCATGAGGGTAAAATGGTAAATATATGCCCTGCAAAGTATCCAATAAAATGCAAATTAAATAGTATAAACTTGTAAATAAAATATGCAATGAAATATTAGCTTCAAGTGCCAGTGCTATATTTATCACTTATTTACTGAGACCGGGGGAAACAGTTTAAATAAGTCAATAGTCAAAGAAACAACAAATTAAAGAACAAATGAACGTAAATACATGAAATATTTTATTGTTAAAACGTTATATTAAACACTGGCTACACTGCAGTTACTTAAAGCGAAAGTTTTAATTACGTACTAGGCATGTCCAAAGGTCGCATCTTCACGTGATGGCGCACGTGATTTTTTTTTGTTATTCGCCGGTCGATAACGTATTATCTCCCTCTCGCGCTGTTGCGAGGGAGACAGCCTAATTTCGTCACTCTCATGTGATATACTCTCAACCAATAAAACACTAGAAAAATGCGACTTTGAAGTACACGAATTATCACACACTGAAGCAAAAGACAGCCGGTAAACACTTCTCTTCTAGTAAACCTTACAACACCTCTGTAATTTTCTCATCACTCTTTGATGTTCGAACATCCTACGTGTTCCTATAAAGCTGTAAGTTCCTAAAAGCTGTACAAATAGAGCCTGACGTACCTTAAAGTGCTCGCCCAAAGTAAAGTTTATATTTAGTATCTAATCAAAATGTCCCAGGAGAAATGTCAATTTCACACTACAGTAGCATCAACAATGTAATCGTAGTTATTCAATAGGGAAGTGATTCAATAGCAATGTAATCGTAGTTATTCAATAGGGAAGTGATTCAATAGCAATGTAATCGTAGTTATTCAATAGGGAAGTGATTCAATAGCCATGTAATCGTAGTTATTCAATAGGGAAGTGATTCAATAGCAGCAACTGATGATGGAAAATATTTCTTCAGTGCATTTCATATTTCTTCAGACGGTTGACACACATTTAAAAGTACTAAAGATATCGTAAATAATAGTATAATCTAAGCAGTAGTAACCAATCAAAAAAACAAATTAAAATGTATTTGTCTGCACCAGACGAATCAGGTGTAAATAGCCTGGCTATTTTACATGGAACTAGACAGGGATTTGTGCCAGGCCCTCTTTTCTTTCTATTCATTTGCAATAGGCAATTCCAGCTTTTAGTTTATGCCTGCAGGGAATGATGGGAAGTAAGGTATCATATTGCTGATTATGCTGGAAAATTTCAATAAAAACTACCAAAACAACCGAAATATTTCAATATTTACAAGTATAAGCTGCCACTCCGTGTTTACACGGCCACCATTTTTATTTTTTCAGCATAATCAGCAATGTGATACCTTACTTCCCATCGTCCCCTGCACGCATAAACTAAAAGCTGGAATTGCCTATTAAGGGAGGGAAATATGGCCAGATATCCAGGCTAAAATGTTTCCTGCATGCATTCCCAATGAATGCGTTCACCATCATCATCCCCCATTAGCCCCGGTTCTATACCCATCCTAGTCCTATCAGTCCTATCACGACCCTATAACCTTCATGTCAAGATTTCTTAAAAGCGGGTGTCTGTGTGCCTTGAAATTTTATTAATATTCTTTTATGATGGGTATTGAATACTTCTTATTTTTCCAAGGTTGCTTCTTCAACTTATCCAACAACTGTACAAACGACAAAAATGGTAATCTTGCTTTCTACCTTTATATGACAGTGTAAATCTATAATCCAGTGAATTTAAAACTCGTTTTTGGTTGCTATTTCATATTTTGAATTGAATAAAACATTTTTACCAACTTTTGATTGTTACTCAGTAACTTAGAAGTAATTTTCTAAGGCTAACCCACTCCTAACATCTTCATGCAAAACAATAGTTAAGTTAATGAGATTAAGAATTAATCCAAGATGGCGGACAGTTCATCAATAAGGCAAGATATAAAACAAGATTTTACAAATAATTTTAACGTTCTTTCAAATAAGACAATGAAAACGTTTGTTGCTATTGTCCTTCAAGTAATTTTTTGCTGATGGTTCTTATTATTTTCAAGGTAACTACTTCTCCAGTATATCCGACAACTGTACATACGACAAAAATGGTAATTTTGCTTTATATCTTCTTACACTATAAATCTACACATACCATATATGGATTTCTAAAAAGGGCCCAACCCTTGCTCTTACCCAGTTCCATTTTTGAAGGTGCCCTGACGTTAATATTTTTTAAAGCGTTTTTCTGTTGCCATTGTCTTTTAAGTTATTTTTTTCTGATGGTTCTTATTATTTTTAAGGTAAATATGTCTCCAACTTATCATCCGACAACTCTACATACGACAAAAATGGTAATTTTGCTTTATATCTTTTTACACCATAAATCTACTCATACCATATATGGATTTCTAAAAAGGGCCCAACCCTTGCTCTTACCCAATTCCATATTTGAAGGTGCCATAGCTGACGTTAATATTTTTAAAGCGTTTTTCTGTTGCCATTGTCCTTTAAGTAATTTTTTGCTGATGGTTCTTATTATTTTCAAGGTAACTACTTCTCCAGTATATCCGACAACTGTACATACGACAAAAATGGTAATTTTGCTTTATATCTTCTTACACTATAAATCTACACATACCATATATGGATTTCTAAAAAGGGCCCAACCCTTGCTCTTACCCAGTTCCATTTTTGAAGGTGCCCTGACGTTAATATTTTTTAAAGCGTTTTTCTGTTGCCATTGTCTTTTAAGTTATTTTTTTCTGATGGTTCTTATTATTTTTAAGGTAAATATGTCTCCAACTTATCATCCGACAACTCTACATACGACAAAAATGGTAATTTTGCTTTATATCTTTTTACACCATAAATCTACTCATACCATATATGGATTTCTAAAAAGGGCCCAACCCTTGCTCTTACCCAATTCCATATTTGAAGGTGCCATAGCTGACGTTAATATTTTTAAAGCGTTTTTCTGTTGCCATTGTCCTTTAAGTAATTTTTTGCTGATGGTTCTTATTATTTTCAAGGTAACTACTTCTCCAGTATATCCGACAACTGTACATACGACAAAAATGGTAATTTTGCTTTATATCTTTTTACACTATAAATCTACTCATACCATATATGGATTTCTAAAAAGGGCCCAACCCTTGCTGTTAACCAATTCCATATTTGAAGGGGCCCTGACGTTAATATTTTTTAAAGCGTTTTTTTGTTGCCATTGTCTTTCAAGTAATTTTTTGCTGATGGTTCTTATTATTTTCCAGGTAAATACTTCTCCAACATATCATCCGACAACTGTACATCCGACAAAAGTGGTAATTTTGCTTTATACCTTTTTACACTATAAATCTACCCATACCATTTAGGGATTTGTAAAAAGGGCCCAATCCTTGCTCTTACCCAATTAGGGGCCCAACGCTTGCTGTTACGCAAAAGGTGCCCTGACGTTAATATTTTTTAA